CTCTGGTGCTTGCCGCTGCTGGCTAGTTTCTCATCAGCTCTCCACGCCATCGAATATGCTGCCTATGTACCTATCTATCTTCTTTATCATCTGTCTCCTGACTTTAGTGTGAGCTCCATGGGGGCCAGGACTGTCCCCGTGAAAGGAAAGGCCTGGCACTTAGTGGGCACTCGTAACTGGTGCATGACAGCAACCCTCCCCACCTCGCAGGACTACTTCAAGGGCTGAATGACACAACCAGCCAATATGCCCTTAGCATGTTTCTCCTACACCCTACCCAGGCTTCCACTCTCAGCTCAAGACACCTCCCCAGGGAAGCCCTCTAGGGCTCCAGACCCAGTCAGGTTCCTTTTTTTTTAATCTTTTTTAAAAACATGTATATATTTATCAATTTCAGAGAGGAAGGGAGAGGGAGAGGGAGACAAAAACATCAATGATGAGAGAGAATCATAGATCGGCTGCCTCCTGCACGCCCCATACTGGGGATCGAGCCCACAACCTGGACATGTGCCCTGACTGGGAATCGAACCATGACCTTCTGGTTCATAGGTCGACACTCAACCACTGAGCCATGCCGGCCGGGCCCCAGCCAGGTTCCTTGGTACACGCCCTGCTCCTAGCTCTTCAGCGCTCACACAGCTGTACTATAACAACTGTGTTCAACTCATTGTTCCCTCTCCCCTCTGCTAGAATGTAAAGTGTTTGAGGACCCGCAGTCCTGCCTACGTCCCCATGTCTGGAACAGTGACCAGGGCAGCAAGGCACAGGTTTCTCAAGGCTCTGGCAGCTGCCTGGGGCCTATCCTGACACTTCCATATACCAACTGTGTGACCTTGAACAAGCCCTCGAAGCCTCAGTTTTCTTATCTGTAAAACTGGGGTGATAGAAACAGTACTTCTTATAAAGGTGAGTTGTGAGAATTCAAGGGGGGTAACTAAAGTACCACATTTAGCATGGTTCCTAACACCTAAATATCAATAAGTGATTATTATTTATGGCTAGGGCTCAATAAATATTTGTCAACTGAATCAGCAGAGAATGAAGGGTCCCAGGGTGGCAGGAGACACCCAGATCTGAACCTGTTTGCTCCCTGGGCTTCAGAGACAAAGGGAGCACAGAGGTTTTAGACCCACGGGTGCTGGCAATGGCAAAGCCAAAATGGCTGTATGTCACAATCATTCGTGAGGCACCTGTCCAAAGTTCAGTTATTAGTAATAAGCAGAGGCAGCAGTCTGGCTTTTAAGAGCTCGACCCTGGACCTGAACTGACCCAAGTTCAAATCCTAGTTCTGCCATTTTCTACCTTTAGGACTTGGACAAAGTTTTAAAAACCTCACTGGGCCTCAGTTACAATATTGCTGGCACCTTGTAGGTTGCCGTGGGGGTAACAGGTCATGAATGTACTCTAGAAATGTCCTCAAAAAATTATACATGTTATAGCCCCAAAGCAACCAGAGGTTTACATAAAAATATAAGTAACAGGCACAGCTCAAGTACTGCTTATTACCTCACCCCTTTGCTCACTCATATTTTCATATGCTTTCCTGAGTGAGAGAAACCCCCTGAGGACTATTAGCAGGATGCCTAATAGTCTTTTTAAAGTTAGGTTCTGGCCCTAACCGGTTTGGCTCAGTGGATAGAGCGTCGGCCTGCGGACTGAAGGGTCCCAGGTTCGATTCTGGTCAAGGGCATGTACCTTGGTTGCGGGCACATCCCCAGTAGGGGGTGTGCAGGAGGCAGCTGATCAATGTTTCTCTCTCATCGATGTTTCTAACTCTCTATCCCTCTCCCTTCCTCTCTGTAAAAAATCAATAAAATATATATATATTTTAAAAAATAAAAGATTTTAAAGTTAGGTTCTGAAATAGGATGTAGCTCCTCTCAGCTATAAAAACCTGTGCTGATGCTGTTTCAGGGGTGGGGAGTGGGGGAATTCTATGCTAGTGAGAAGCCGGTAGCTGCCAGAAGCAGGAACAAAGTTTAGGAGCAGGCAGAGGCTATCTCGAGTTTTTCAGAGCCACTGTGGACAGTGCTGGGCCTGTCACACCCAGAAACGAAGCGTAGGAGACATCCTGAGTCCTCGCCCACATCCCACCTCCAATCTTTCAACACATCCTGGTGGCTCTATATAACTTTTAAGGGGAAGCGCATTCATCGGAGGTAAGAGGGCTGGGAGTACCAGGCTGCCAACCCCGAGTGGTAGTCTGGGGGTCTAGTGCCCCTCAGCAGAGCACCAATTGGGTAGTGCCAGGCCCAGAGGGCTCAGGGCACAGAAGTGGGGATAGGGGCTCACCCTGGATGGTCCTCTTGAAGAAGGCTTTGCAGGCCTCACAGGACGCCACACCATAGTGGTAGCCCGAGGCCACATCTCCACAGACCAGGCACAGGCGTTTAGGCAGGGAGCTGAGCACCAGCTTCCCACCACCCTGCTCACCAGGCCCAGCCCCCTCCCCATCCTCCTCTTCCTTGTGGCCTGGAAGGTGGCGAGCGGGAGCTGGGCCAGGGGCCAGGGCTACAGGGGGCTCGGCCTCAGTCTCCGAGGAACCCTTTGGGCTGTCTGGGCTGGCTGGTTCTGCCTTGATGTAGAGAGGCTCAATGCCCACCACCTGGCTGGACATGGCGCTGGTCACCTGTGGGGAGAAACCTGTCAGGTCACAGGGAGGTGCTGGGATGGGGGATGGAGAGACACCCTGCCACCCTGGTTGCCCAACCCCAGGCCTGGGGCCAGGCTTCCAGTATCAGTGAGGGGGAAGGAGGAGGTACAGAGTCCAAGGAAGGGCTGCCCATGAAAAGGCCCCCCCTCCCCCTCCCCCAGTTGTTGCCATGGGAATAGAGTCTCCAGAGCCTCCAGGGCCAGTAACTGACAGCAAGTCGGTCCCATTTAGGAACCTGCAGGAGACTTAGAAACCCCCTACTCCTACCCAGGCCGGGGGGCAGGGTAACCTTGGCCCCAGGCGACCTTCAACTCCATCTGGAATCCTCAACTAGAAATGGGATACCCTCTCCATTTTCTCCAGACAGGGTCCTCGCTCTCCCTCTCACCTGTGCTTCCCCCATTCAAGAGCGTAAACAGAGGTACACAAACCCAAGGGCAGTGGGATGTGCTCACACACGTGTGTTCACACCCTCACACACTCCCACTCACCTGGGTTCTCAGGTGTCCTGCATGCTCATTCACACGGGGCCTTTCCCAAGCCCCGTTCTCATTCATGCTCGCTCACTCCTCCCAAGTGCATACCTCATCAACAAAACCGCACTCAAGACTCATAATCACACACTCTTACACGCTCCCCCTGCCCCCAACGCGAACAGGCACAGACCCTCGTGGAAACACATTCAGATCTTTCACACCTGACACACTGCCCCCTCCTGTCCCAGCAAGCCCACTCCAAGGCACACCAACCGGCGCGGCTCCACCTCCTTGCACATCCCCCCACACCCCACCCGCCAGCACGCTCACTCGGCTGCCGCAGAGTCCTCCACCTCCGGGGCGCCCCGCCCCCCCCAACCCGTGCACACCTACGGGAAGTTGCCTAAAGTTGCAGCGTTCTCCTCCCCCTCCGCCCGCGGGGGACCTCTATCAGGTTATCAGGAAGTGAATGGGGAGTGCCAAGAAGGAGGAAGTTCTACCCTGCCGGTGCGATGACCTTTGACCCAGAGAGGAGGGTGGCCCAAGGCCCCTACGAGCGCCCCCACGTGGTCTTCAAAGCCCCTTCCCCGACAGGGAACCCTCCCCATCTTCCACCCCGGCCCGCCCCTGGGACTTAGCAAGCTCCAGGGCCGGACTGAACCTGCCCTAGGACCGGATCCGAGGCCCAAGGCCGACCCTGGCTTAGGACCCGCAGCCGGAGCCCACGCCGGCCCCTGCCCCAGGCCGGCACACTCAGACCGGGACGGCAGATCCCGCCGGGACCCTGACCTCGTCTGCTTCTCCACCGGGTCCCGACCGAGACCCCGGCCGGTCCCGGAGCCGGACCCGCCTGGAGCCCGCCCCCGCCCGCCTCCCTGCGCACACATGGCCCCCGCCCCCTCCCGCCCACCTCCCCAGCGGCGGTCCCCTCCGCCCCCGGACCTGGGGCTCCGGCTGGGCGGGCGGGCAGGCATGGGGGCCGGGCAGCCCGGAGCGCCGGGGTAAGCCGGGGGCCGCTGGCGGCCCCTCCTCCGCCGCCTCCTCGGACCGCGCCGCCCCGCCGCGCCGCGTCCCCTCACTCGGCGGCGCCGCCGGCGGCTTGTAGGACACAAAAGGACATCGCGGCCGCTTCCTACTCCGCTTCCTCCAGCTGACAGCGGGGGCGGGGCCGGCCGTGCGCATGCAAAGCAGGGGGCGGGGCCTAGCGCCCTATGCTAATCAGACAAGTGGAGAAGGCAGCGCCTCGGTGCCGGGACGAGTCGGGAAGAGCCGGCGAAGCCGGCGGGCGGGCTTTGGCGAGGTCCCGCCCCGTCGCCGCCAGCCACGGCGGCGCACTCGCGCACGGGCCTCCGAGGGGGCGTGACCAGGGGAGACGCGAAGTGGCTCGGGTGGGGGTGGGGCCAAGAACGCTTTTACGAAACGGAGGAGGCGGGACGCGCTGTGCGCGAGAGGAGTGGGCGAAGGCGCCCCGAGAGACCACGGACACATGTAAACGAGAGGCCTGACTAGCGGAGAAGCGAATCTGCATATGCATGAGGGGCGGGGCCTAGCTTGGAAGGCAAGTGCTGCCCACTTTCCCTTTTTCCCTTTCCCCCCCGCAGATAACACCCTCGGGGCCCTTGGACCGCAGGCCCAACATCCCCTCAAACCTGCGGAATCCGGGATGGGAGCAGCAGACCTACCACATGCAAGAACTCCTGGATCTCGAGTCCCGGGAAGGCGGAGCTGATATGGCCCCAACAGAGAACGCTCAAGGTCACTGCGGTGACCGAGTGAAGGTCATGGGGAAAGGCGGGGCCACGTGCGTCCGCCTCACGCAGACAGCCACGCACTGACTCACAGACCTTGCACAGACTTTTATTTCTCTAGGGTTCAAATTCCACATGCATAGGGTCGTGTTCGGGTCTCCGCGCAGGACCGGGCCGGGGCTGGAGGTGGGCAGTCACTCGAGCCTGAGGCGGTGCTCTCAGGGCTCCGGGACTTGTTGCCTCCCGTTCCGCTGCTTCTCGAGATCCTCGATTTGTCCCTGCAGCTGATGGGTCAGAAAGTGATCCTTGCCGAAGGCCGAGCGGTAGCCTGGAGGAGAGAGCTCCGCTCAGGGCAGTTGGAGGGGCGTTGCCTCCCGGCAGCAGGTGCCACCTGTGTAGTTGGAGGCCAGACGGGTGGCTTGGGTTGACAGGCGCTCTCAGGGCTCCGGGCTGTGTCAGTTTGGGGAACTTTGGATCTCCGAGGCGCTGGGCCCTGCCGGTTTTGTTGCCAGTCCTGTGCTCCAAATAGGTGGGGGATGCGGAGCAGGACTGGATATGGAGGTGGAGGATGGATGAGAGCAAGAGCAAAGAAAATGTTGCCGGCCTGATCTTGGACAGCGGCAGTTTTTTGGACACCTTCTGGAGCACTCACCGTTAGCCATTAGCCAGTCCCTACCCCTCATTCCATAAACGGGACAAACCAGGGGAGGTTTACCCAAACCATCTACTGTCCAAAGGCTCTTCACGCCAATCAGGGAAGGGACTGAGGCCGAACAGAGACTCATCCCCACTGGGCCGATGGAGAAATCGCCTTAGGAAAGCCGTCAGCTAGAGGGGGGCAGCACTTACACTGGAGCCCAGCCCCTCACATTGGCCCCATGGTTCCCCCACTGGTCTCCCTTGTCCTGTCCCCCAACTTTTTGCTTTCTCTGGGGCTCTTATAATATTTGTGAGTGGTCAGAGAATCTGACAAGGCAGTCACATCCTGAAATTCCACTGCCAGGGGCTCAAACCCTGCAAAATCCCCTATGGGCTCCTGGGAGCTGGGGAGGGACTCACTCCGGCGGGCTTTGGTGAGGATTTCCAGAGCTTCGTTCACCATGAGTTCCATCAGGGGCAGTGGCAGCTGAAGAGGCAGCAAGAGGCTTGATGTCCAAGGGACCCCAGCTGCCCACAGCTGAAAAGCCCCACCTGCAGCCCAAGACGCCCAACCAAGCTGCCTGTCCCTCCGCCCTCCAGACCACCCACCCCCTTCACCTGTAAACCCCAACTTGCCCATTCCCCACCCACTGACATCCCCAGCCTCCCTGGCACCCCTAACCCTGTCCTGCTGCTCTGCCCAGTAGGCTCGGTGGTGCGTGTGCTTCAAGACATTGACTGATGACACCGAGGAGTCCAATTCTGGGAGAAGAGAAAAGAGACATCCGTCACCTGCAGGCTGCTGGGTCTTTCTGGAACAGAGGAGCTGTATGGGCTGGCCTCTGGCAGGGACAGTGGCCTTCAGAGAGCAGCTCCAGGTGCCACCGTAGCAGGAAACGGCATGGGACAGTGGTTTCCAGACCTGGGCTTTATGATCTCACCCACCAAGGTTCTAGTTCTGGCTGCCCCGCTGTGTGACACTTAGAGCCAGTGACTGAAACTTTCTGACCTTCAGGTTCTTCATCTGTACAATGGGGTAATAAGAATAACCCCTGGCCCTGGCTGGGTAGCTCAGTTGGTTAGAGCATCATCCCAATACACCAAGATTGTGGGTTCAATCCCTGGGCAGGGCACATACAAGAATCAACCAATGAAACAAGTCAGTATTTCTCTCTTTCTCTCCTCTCTCTCTCTCTCTCTCTCTCTCTCTCTCTCTCTCTCTCTCTCTCTCTTTCTCTCTCTCTCAAATCAATAATATTTTTCAAATGAATAATTAAAAAAAAAAAAAGAATAGCCTGGTCATTGTGGCTCAGTGGTTGAGTGTCGACCCATGAACCAGCAGCACATGCCCGGGTTGTGGGCTCGAAACTCAGGAGGGGACATGCAGGAAGCAGCCAATCATCACTGATGTTTCCATCCCACTTTCCCTCTCCCTCCTTCTCTCTGAAATCAATAAAAACATATTTAAAAAGGAAGGAATATAAAAAGAATAACCCCTAATGGAGGCGATGAAATTTAAAGGTGATCATACTGGTACAAGGGAAGCCCGATGCCTGCACACCACAAGAGCTCGATCAGTGGCCGTCATTATATTGCTATCAGTTCCAATTCTCTGATGAAGCCCTGGGGGGGGGGGGGGGGGGGAATCCCCCAAAGTGACCAGCATGAAGTAGGTACTTAAAAATCGTCACCAATGACTAAATAAATGACAGGCACCTCCTCAACCCTCGAAAACCCACCGACAAGAAATTAACTCCTTCCTCTCAACTCTGCTAGTGATTCCATTAAAAGCACGGTCCTAAGGACACACGGCCGCCCGCCTCTCTGGGACCTGGTGTGGCCTGGCCACAGGAGCGTGTCTGGTGCCTTCCCAGCAGGGGGCGCTCCAAGAATGTCTGGTTTATTAAGCGTGAAAGATTAGCCCAGGCGCCCCACTCAGGGAACCCTAGAAACTTGGATCCTACAGCTTCCCCGCATTTTACACCAACAGACATTGAGGTCCTGACCAGCCCCCTGCCCTGTGGGCGCCCACAGCGGGATGAAGCCACACTGACCCCCAGAATCCTGGACCCCTTCTACATGGTTTTTCTGGAAGCTGCTGGGGCTCTGCTCCTGCTCCAAGGCGTGGCCATCGAGTTCCCCCTGCGTGATGCTGCCTTTCTTTCTGTCATCCCGTTTTTCCCAGGCTCTCTCAGGGCAGGTCTTCCGTCTGTACCACTGGCCAGACTTGCTCCTGGAGCTGCTGTCCTCCTGGTCAGAGTCATCACAGACGTTCGTCAGCACATTCAGCTTGGGCTGCGACAGCGTGGCCTTGGTCCACAGATTCCGGATGTCACTTTTCGAGCTTGACTTGACTGAGTCATTGGGACTCAAAGACTTGGTCCTCGCCTGTGGACCACATACAACAAGGAAAGCCCAGCACGCCTGTCAGAATGGCTATCATCAAGAAATCAACAAACAATGAGTGTTGGCGTGTTGGTGAGGATGTGGAGAAGAGGGAACCCTCGTGCACTGTTGGTGGGAATGCAGATTGGTGCAGCCACTGTGGAAAACATTATGGAATTACCTCCAAAAATTAGAAATGGAGCCACCTTATGACCCAGCAATTCCACTTCTTGGAATATATCCAAATAAACCCAAAACACTACTTCAAAAGAATATATGCACCACTATGTTCATTGCAGCGTTATTTACAATAGCCAGGGTTTGGAAGCAGCACGTATGAGGGGATAAAAAAGCTGTGGTACATGTACACAATGGAATACTACTTGGCCGTTAAAAAGGGGGAGGGAATCTTACCATTAGCCACAGCATGGATCAACCTGGAGAGCATTATGCTAAGTGAAATAAGCCAGTCAGAGAAAGACAAGCACCATATGATTTCATTCATATGTGGAATCTAATAAACAAAATAAACTAATAAACAAAATACAGATAGATTCATAGATAGAGGACAGACTGACAGCTGGGGCGGGGCAAGGGGGGAAGCTGGGGGGGAGCTCAGGGCTGGGTGAAGAAGGTGAAGGATTAAGCAAAAGCAACAACAACAACAAAACTACAACACCTACAACAGTCTGGTGATTACCAGCGGGAAAGGGGCGGAGGCAGTAGGAGAGGGTGGGAGGGACAAATGGTGATGGAAGGAGATTTAATACAAGTATACAGGTTTCCGGCGTACAGATCCTGTATTATAGAATTGGACACCTGAAACCTATATACTTTTATTAACCAATATCACCCCAATAAAATCAATTAAAAAGAAAAAACAAAACAAAACAAGGAAAGCCCAGGGTCGTGGGGAGTTGGGGAGGGAGGAAAGCAGGCTGGGGCAGCCACGTGGGGACTGTTGGGAGCTGGCGGGTGGGGGGCGTGAGAGGACAGCCAGGGCCCACGTTAAATGAGTCTGGGGGCTGACAGGATGAGGGGCCCAGGAAGAGTTCTTACTTTGAGAGGCTTTTCCTCCATGGTTCTGCCCCAACGGACCCAGTCGCCACAGGCCTCGCGGATGGCGGGGGGAGGGGGGAGGGTTGCGCTCCGGGAAGGGGGAGGGGCGGGGTCGCGTTCTGGAATGGCGAGGAGGGTCTCGTGCAGGAAGTGGTCAAGCTGCAGCCCTCCACACTTGACACAATTATTTCTCCCCCTGCCCACCCCCGCACCCCTAAGGCTGTGCTGGCGTTGGAGACGCACGGCCCATCTGACAGGTTCCGCCGCGCGCCCCTGCTTGCTGGCCTCCACGCAGCGACGCGGGCCGATCACGGCCGAGGGTGCCGCTCCCTGCCCGACCCGACGTGGGTGCCGAGAGTCACGGAAGCCTGACTCGCCAGGGAGCGCCCCGACGCCAGCACTCGCGCCCTGGGAGCGCGCGCGCCCGCAGCGGTGGACTTTTTCCTTTATTGACACGGGCTCTGAGGCTCAGCTGGGAGGCGTGGGGGACGGTCCGGCCCGGACAGGAGACGGGGACCCTTGGGGGCTGGAGATGAACGGAGGGAGGAGGGGCCAGGAGCCGGGGTGCCAGGCACGCCACCTGGCCTGCCCCCAGGCTGCAGGCCGGTCGCACGGGCGCTTCGATCAACCAGGCAACGCATGCAGGGGACGAGCCAGAACGCAGCCTCTGGGGCGGCGCCCCTGCCCTACACGGGCACGTCTTTGTCCCGGAGGCGCCGGGGGCCGCGGGGCCGCGCGGGCTTCCTGGCGGGGGGCGGGGCGCGGCGGCGACCCCGGGGCGCGCGGGGCACCACGCAGCCGCGCTCGCTCTGCGTGTCCGAGGACTCGTCGATGAAGGCCAGGTTCTCGCTGGGGTAGTCCAGCGCGGAGGCCGAGGGCGCGGAGGCCGTGGGCGGGGAGGGCGGGGAGGGCGGGGAGGCCTTCTCCGGGGGCGCGGTGCACGGCGGCGGGGGCGAGAGCGGCCGCTCCTTCTCCGGCGGCGGCGGCGCCACGGACCCGCCTCGCTGGGTCACCCGCGCCGTCACTGTGCCGGTCCAGCTGGCGGCATGAGCCGTGAAGCCGCCCATCTGCGGGGCAGGGGTGCAGTCCTCAGCCCCGGGTCCTCCACCCCCCAGCTCCCCGGAGCCCGCCCTTCGCCAACCAGGCGTCGCTGCTCTCTTCCCCCGGCCCTCCTGCCTCAGCCCCCCCCCCCCCTCTCCCGCTGCACCATTTCGCCTTCTTCATCGCCGAAGCGCCCCCTTATCCGGGGTTCTTCTAGAAACCCCCCGGTTTATCCCAGCTCTCCCTCCTGGGCCCCCAGAGACCTTCGAGCTCCCCTGCCGGCATCGACGAGTGGGGTGACAAAACACAGGTCGTATTAAGTCCGAATTCCAGACAGTAAATGAAATTGTAGTGTAAGTATGTCCCGTGCTCTATGTGAGACATACTTACACTAAATGTTATTTGCTACTTATCTGAATGCACCTTTAACTGCGCTGCCTGCATTGTATTTTGGTAAATCTGGCAGCCCTATCCACAAGAACACAGGCGGAGTCGCCTGCACTCATGTCCCCGGCTGGTACATATGGGGGCACACTCAGTCCCTGCCCACACTCTGGAAGGGAGGCAGGGGGTGCCAAACCACTGCTCGGGTGCAGCGCGGGCGGCGTCAGGGCGCAGGCGCGGCCACCCGGGGCGCCTACCTCTGCGCGCGTGCGGCGGAACACTACCCGCAGCCAGTTCCCGATGGTGGTGAGCACCGAGGCGAAGTAGGCCAGGCCGAGCAGGATCCAGAACCACACCAGCGGCTGGTAGGCTGCGTGGGTCTGGTTGGGGTTGGCGCCTGGGATGCCACGGGGAGAGCAGAAAGAAGGTGTGTGGGGCCAGCGTTGAGCTGGGAGCCACTGCTTCACTGCCCCTCTCCCCAGCTCCGTGAGGGGTCCATCTCTCCCAGGACAGCGGGTTTGTGCGTGTGTGAATGCCTGCAACCTGAGCGTGCATGACCTGCAGGTGTGCAAGAGAAGAGCATGTGAGTGGGAGTGCTCACGTGCAAGAGTGGGAGCATGAGCACCTTCACATACGTGTGAACATGCATGGAGGCGCAGGCATGCAAGAATGTAAGTGTGCACGAGGTGTTGCATCCGTGCAGCAATGTGAGGGTGCATCCCGAGCGCGGATATAGGGGGCGGGGTCATCAGTTTGAGAGCACAAACGCCACATGAGGAATTTGGAAGGAGAACTAAGAGGGCAGAACCCCTGGGGAGGAATAACATGGGCCGGAAAGTACAGCACAAGAAAGGCGGCCTCACCGGCCACATAGTCCCCGAACCCCACCGTGGTGAGCGTCACCACCACGAAGTAGATGGCCTCGAGCTTGCTCCAGCCCTCCATGTAGCAGAACACGAACATGGGGGTGATGACAAAGAGCAGGCAGCCAATCACCAGGAAGAGCAACGCCGATAAGATTCGCACCAGCTCCTTGGGCACGTGCCACTTCTGCAGGGAGGGCAATAGGTAGGACCCAGGAGTCACCCAAACCTCCACTCTCACACCCCACACCCCTTCCTCCGGGAGCCTGTGGGAGGCTCCTGCCATCTCGGTAGAAAAGGTATCCTGAGCCCGACACAAATGGGTGGAGCAGCTCACCAGGAAGATGGCTTCAATGTGCCCGATGCCGTGGCGCAGGGCAGAGCCCAGCCGGTCCCCGACCCCTGCCAGCAGGATCCCGAACAGTGGGATCCCCACCAGAGCATAGATGATGGAGAAGGTGCGACCGGCATCTGAGCGCAGGGCTGCATTGCCATAGCCTGGGCAGAGGGGCCGAGCAGGAGATCTAGGGGTTGCCTGGCACCTCCCTATCGCCCCCTGCACCTTCCCCCTAGAGAAAGCCCAGCCACTCCTCGCCCCCCTCCACATGCCCGGTCCCCGCCCCCACCGATGGTGGTGATGATGGTGCCTGAGAAAAAGAAGGCGCCGCTCAGGTCCCAGGCTGAGTAGTTGCTGTGACTGGTTGCGTTGATGTCAGGGTTTGCACCCCCTCCCAGGGCATCAGCCACCTCCTGCAGGACAAGGCACAGAAGGAGGAGCCTTAGTCCTTCCCTCCTGTCCTTGCCCCCCCCCCCCGCCCCTCCCATCTCTCCCTTTCCCTCTGGCCTTCCCGAAGGCAGTCCCTTTGAACACATATTGCAATTGGGGTGACCCCATGTTGTCTGACCTCCACATTGTTCTAGAAACATTTACCTGCCCCCTAATTTCACACAACAGATTTTCCGTTTTACAGTGGTGCTGCGTGAACATGGCTAAGTCTCTGTGCCTTTGTTTCTACATCTACGGACCGGGGATGATGCTAACAGCACCTACCACATCAACCCCTTGTGAAAGTTAAAGCACTCACAGCAAAGGAAGCGCCGTGTGTCCCCACGCAGTGACCGTGCCTCGTGACTTCCAGCTGCCCCAGACCCCCCCACGCCCACTCCCCTCGGAAGCTGCATCTGAGTCCCTTGCCTTAGAAGCTGTGATGAAAGTTGGGGACCCTCCCTCCAGGCAGGTTCATATACCATCAACATTTTCACCCCATTTTTGTAGACTGGTGGACACACGAACCCCTGCCCAGCTGCTGAAGCTCTGCGCTACGTCGTACAGTGATGGCGAACAATTTCTCTATGTGACGCGGCACCAGAGTTAAGTTAGGGTTTTTCAAAATGCTGACACGCCGAGCTCAAAAGGTTCGCCATCACTGACATAGCAGGTGCTCAGCAAACACGATTAAATTAATGCAGTGGCCCTGCGTCAGTCCCTGTTGCCAGGCAGGGTCTGTGTTTTGAGAGGGCCCGCCCCATGTGACAGAGGTCGAGCACAATGAGGAGGGGTGCGATGGGGCCCCTCCCCAAGGCGCACAGAGCCGAGCGCCGAGGCAGGGAGTGAGATCACATACCGCATCTCTCTCCTCCTTAGCCAGAGGCCTTCCAGTTAACTGTCCTGCACTGGGGCCCCACATCCGCCACAGCTCCCTGCCATCTGCAGCACCGAGTCCCGCATCCCAGCCCAGCTTTATGCCGCTTTGCAGTTTGGCTCCCACCTCCCCTTCCCAGTCCTCTCTCCGGGGGCTCCCATTTGGGAACCCAAGTTAAAGTGACCTTAACCCCAAATTTCTGAGATGATCTCATTTCCTGTCATAATTTTTTTTAATAAAGCCAAGAAGTGAAATATATGATTTAAAGTGATTTAATATTTATTTTGCAACACTTTTCTGGTAAATTCACTACTTAAGGGGAGAAAAACGCTTTGTCATCCTGTGTGTTCTAATTTTTGTTTCCAATGACGAGGCATCTGCTAAATCTGAGTTCTATAAGCCATTTATTCATTTCTTCCTTCATCCCAGCTTCCATGCCTTTGCCCGTGCTGGTCTCCTGCCTGTAGTCCCTTGCAACCCAACCACACATCTCTACATTCCACCCATCTCACCCGCCTCATCTCAGCTACCAGCTCTTCCCAGAGGCCCCCAGCACCTAGCCCAGGGCCCAGCCTGCAACAGGCGGTTAACAAAGAAGGAAGTGAGGAAGGTGCCTTTCCCACTGAACTCTGTAGGGATCTGTCCACGGAGCTGTCCCCTTGCCCAGATGTGACATCCTCTAGGACACAGCTTGCACCTGTCCCGCCCCAACGTCCGTCTCCCTGCTCACTGTGGTGTCTAGCACAGCGCCTAGTTCACAGCAGGGCATGACTGCTGCATGGCTAATTGTGGAAAAGAAATAGAGCAGCTGCTGCCCACCCTTCTAGCTTCTGCCCTTCCTTCGCTCTGTTTTATTCAGGAAAAAAGTAACTCCATTGTGAAGATAAAATAGGTCAGATTCCCTCCCTCCCTCTGCCCTGTGGTCTGGTCAGGCCTCTCTGAGCCTCTCTCTCTTTCTCTCTCTCTCTCTCTCTCTTTCTCTCAGTATTCTAGATGCATCAGAGACAAGGTCAGGCTGCCTGGGCCCGCCCCACCCTCATCTCTGCTCTGGTCCTGCCACAATGGGAATCCGCAGGAGCACAGAGGCCTCCAGGCTGATGGCTCCTCCCTCCCAAAGAACAGACAGGGAAAGAGGAGTAATCTCTACTAAAGCAATAAACACTCATTTATCAAAGTTAAATCTTAGATTTTTAATAAGATAGTGACCCAGAAATCAGAGGAAGCCATAGAGGTGTGGCCTGACAGTCCCCCAGAAGATAAGCCGCACTTTAGTCCCTGGCCGGGTCCCTGGCTGCCTCCCTTCTAACCTCTACAGCAGTGGTTCTCAACCTTCCTAATGCCGCGACCCTTTAATACAGTTCCTCATGTTGTGGTGACCCCCAACCATAAAATGATTTTCGTGGCTACTTCATAACTGCAATTTTGCTACTGTTATGAATCATAATGTAAATATCTGATATGCAGGATGTATTTTCATTGTTACAAATTGAACATAATGAAAGCATAGTGATCAATCACAAAAACAATATGTAATTATATATGTGTTTTCTGATGGTCTTAGGCGACCCCTGTGAAAGGGTCGTTCGACCCCCAAAGGGGTCGAGACTCACAGGTTGAGAAACGCTGCTCTACAGCATAAGCACGTGTCCTGGGAAAAGGGGTGTAAACCGCATTCACAGTGCACGCACAGGGGGAGGCGAGCCTGGAAGCCTCCAAAACCACCTGCCCCAGCTTGTAGGTGCGCTTTTCCGGGGGAGGTGCTCGCAGTGTCCCTGGGTTTCTCTGAGGAGTATGTGGGTCCTTGGAGCCACTGCGGGGGTGGCCAGATTCAGCAAATACAAATACTGCCAGGGACATAGTCATATTTAGAGACTATCCCTTGTTTAGCTGGAATTCACATTTACCTGGTGCCCTGACTTTTACCTGGTAACCCTAAACCAGAGAGTGAGACCTGTGACAATGTAGCCTATCTCATTGCTACAGCCATTTGCTTCCTTCCTTCCTTCCTTCCTTCCTTCCTTCCTTCCTTCCTTCCTCCCTTCCTTCCTTCCTTCCGCCCCTCCACCGTCCAGGGCACAGTCCAACGCCAGGCACAGCGAGGCGAGCACGTGCCCCACACACATCACATTGAAAACAGAGACCTGCTCCCGGCCTCGGCCCGGCACCCCAGTTGCACCCAGCACTCAGGGGGGCCAGTCTGGAAGCAGCACCCCAGGACACGGCCCCACGGGCATGCAGCTAGTGCCAGGGGGTCACGGGTGACCGCTGAAGGGGTTCTCGCCACCCACGCACCTTGATGAGGAGCCCCAGGTCCCCGTCGCTCACACATGGGTGGGTCCGCAGGAACTTCTCTTGGACCTCCCCCAGCTTCCTCTGGGCCTGCTGCTCCAGGGGCTGCTCCAGGGCCCGGAAGACCAGGGCCCCCAACACCAGGTAGAGCAGGACCAGCGCCAGCAGAGCCAGGAGTGTGGTGCTGCGCATGGCGTGCCCAGGGGCCCCGCCAGGTCCACCGCCCGCGTGGGGAGGCCGGGCAGGCGGCTTCGGGAGGGCTGTGGTCACTGCGGGCAGAACCAGGGATCTCGGATCAATAACCTGGCCTGACAGCCCTCCTCCAGCCCCTACACACCCACGGGTCCTTGGAGCCTCCAGCTCTCCTGCCCTCAGAGGACCTCTCCCTGCATCCCCGTGGCTGGACGGACACTTGGTACCAGGACACACCCGCGCCTCCCCCCAGTCCGGTCCCCCCTTACCTCCACTGCCGGGCCCTCGGGGCCCTCAGCCCCTGTCCGGGGCCTCTGGGTGCGAGAAGAGAAGAGGGCACCCGGAAGGGAAGAGGAGGGAGGACAGCGGAAGAGGCAGGGGAGCAGGGAAACGCCGGAGGGTGGGGGTGCGGGTGGGGGTGGGGGCTCCGGGGCAGGCGTGGGAACTGGCCTTCCAGGAGGGGCCGAGCGCTGGGAGGCGCTGGCAGGAAAAGTGGGAGGAAAGCCGACCGCATGGGCGGGGGCCGGGATGGCTGGTCCGGTTCGCCTGCCGCTGCTGCCGCAGCATCTTCGTGACTTCTTCTCCTGGCCCAGATGGGCTGGGCGGGGAGCCTCCAGGGGCCCCAGGAGCCCCGCCGGGCTGGGCTTTCGAGGAACCCAGGGATGGGTCTGGTCCCAGTGCAGGTGCGAGGCAGGGGTGGGGGCCGGTTCCGGGAAGGCGCTGAGCAGGGCGAGGGCTACAAGCCGGACCAGGGCAGCCTCCCCCGGGCGGGCCGCTGGCAGCCCCTGGCAGCGGGCGGCTGCGCCCACGCGCCCACCCGCCGCGCCCAGCTCGCGTGCCCACGCTCCGCCCTGCAGCCCGGCCACCGGCCGCTCGGGCGCCACGCACACGCCCCACCTGCACTCTCCCGCACCCAGGGCCGCGGCACGGAGGGCCCGTCACACGTGCGCCCGCACCGGCACCGGCACCTGAGACCCGGCCACGGCGCAGCGCCGGCGCCCGCCCCGCACACCCGCACTCGCTCCCACCGCCTCCCGAGTCTCCCAGCCGACAGCTCGGAGGCGTCAGCGCGCGCCGCACGATCCCCGAGGCGCCCACGCGGGGAGGGGAGGCGGCGCCCCACCCAGCGGACGCCCCTGCCGCCCTGCGCGGAGTCCGGCCGCACTCCCTGCCGCGCCCCTCCGCCCCGCACTCACTGTGGGCCCCGCGGCGACGGAGGCTGCGACCCCGGCGGCAGCGGCAGCGGCAGCGGCGGAGCGGGCGGCCGCCGGGGCTGGGACCCCCTCCCGCCGCCTGAAGCCCCCCTCCTGCCGCGCTTAACCCCTCCAGTGCCGCGCCGCCCTGCGGCTGAGCCTGGGCCGCGGGCGCCCCGGCCCCTAACCTGCGGCCGCCCGCTCCCCGGAGATGAGCGGCAAAGGGGCCGAGAGAGACGCCGCTGGGTCCGGCCTGGAGTGTCAAACCGGAGCCCTGGTGCTGCCCTGCCCGCCGGTCAGCCAGTGTGGCCAGAGGCCGGCTCACCTCGCTGGACAGGCCACACTAACCTCCAGGCTCACTCTAGGGTAGGAAGGGCCTCTCCTCCCCGCCCTGCGGGCAGCCTGGCCCTGGGTTCAACAGAGGGAGGAGATCCTGCCAGACGAAGGGCGGGGATCCACTCAGGCAGCCTGGAGTTGCGCCAGGTGTGGTGGGGCCCAGTTCTGGGAAGTCACACGGGGGCACCTCCTGCCCCTGCTCCTGTATCCCCGTCCCTTGGTCCTCTCCCCATGCCCATCCCAGCATGAAACTGGTGCCAGCACTCCCTACCCCGCTGCTTGAACTGCCAGGGCCGTTGCATGTCCTGGAACTTGGTTCCTCTCTGCTCTTACCCACTTAACAACCCCCATTTCTCCAAAGACCCTGCGGGGTGCTCAGCCCTCAGGGTGGGCGGGTGGAGCATGGGCGCTAAGGCTGCCCCCTACCAGTCGGGGGCCCGAAGGCCTTCCCAAGCTCTGGAGCCTTTTGGGAAAGGGATGTTAATTCTCACCTCGGGGTGCCATTCTGAGCATTAAGGAGGTCAGTGTTGTAAGCCTGGCACACACAAGAAAGGCCCTAACAAATGGCAGCAACTTCCTGTTCAAAGAAAAGTGATTGTGCCCTCTCCGGGGGCCGGGAGGCCCAGAGGCCGGTGTCCAGGACGGTCCCAAGTGAAGGGTTTCAAGACAGTGCTCGGCCCCAGGACTGGGAAGAGCTGGGACAGTCAGGTCTGTGCGCAGGGGACAGACCTTCCCCTAAGCAACTCCCAGCCGGGGACAAACCTGCAGGGCGAGGGCAGCAGAGGGCAGTGGCTGTGCTATTAGCGGTGGCCAAGAAGGGGGCCCAGGACTACCAGGTAGACTGTGTGGGGGCAGCCCATGCTACCAGCCAAATCCACATCTGGCAGGGAAATGGGCGCCAACTCTTCCTCCACAGGCCCTGGACTAGCCCCTGAGCTGAGGGCCAGGTTGGATGTGATGACAGGGGAGCAGGGTCTCCAGAGATCCCATCCACTCGGGGATGAGAGGCATAATAACCCATAACCACAGCGCCACGGGACCCACAGGGGACACGGCTCCCTGACCCAGAGGGGAGGCTTCTAACGAAAAGTGACATTTGAAGCAGGTCTTAAGGAAAGAGTAGAAATTATTCAAGTAGAGAGGTGACTGGAGTAAGGCATGGCTCCTGGTCTCCCTTCTCAGACTGCAGGCTCCTCCCGCTCCCTGCCCTCCAGCCTGGTAACTGGCCCCTGCCCGTCTGTCCAGCAGCCCCCTTCAAGGGCCAGCGTCTGATCAGCCTTCAGCCAAGCAGACAAGGTTTGAGGAGCACAGATATCGGACAGCCATGGGGCACAGACACTGTTTATTGGTGGCAGACACAGGAGAGGTAGCTGGCTCCAGCACAGGAGTGGAGGTGGCAGGTCATGCCAGGGTGCCGTGCGCATCCGGCAGGCAGGGCCGTGCCCCCATCAGCACAGACTCACTACAACAGAAGTAGCAAGGAGCTGGCCAGGGAGGAGGTGGCCACAGCCCCTGGGGTCCGGGGCAAGAAGCAGCAGATGAACTTGGCACAGGGGCCTGGGGAGGAGGGACTGGGGTCTGAGTGTTCTGGGGACAGGTGGAGGGGATCACGTCTGTGGAGTGGAGTAGAGACTGTGGTGGTGGCTGCCTGGGTCCAGCACCTGGGAGAAGAGCAGAGGAGTGGTCCGAGTCTGGCTGCCCCCGTACCAGCCTGGCTCCCGCCCGATGGCGCCGTACCAGCTGCCAGAGCCTAGGCTGCCTGACATGCTGCAGACAGAGAAACAGGGTCGGTTACAAGGCAGGGACCGGGCAACAGGCACAAGAGTTGGGGGAGGGAGAGAGGCTTAGGACAGAGCCCGGTAGCCCAGGCATTCCAGGGCCCAGGACTTGAGCACTGCACACTGTAGCCAACTGCATCCTCGGGGCAGGAGGGGGAAACCAGAGGGGCCCCCACCTTGTACAGACGGAAACAAAGGCCATGGCAGGGGCTGGGCTGGATGACAAGACCTGGCTCTAGGCCCCCAGGGCTCCATGGAGCACGCCAGGAGCTCAGAGGGCTTGAGGTGGGGCGGAGGCTCCTACCTGGTGCTCTCGCCCCGGCTGTGCTCCCAGGAGCAGCTCTCATCCTCGCAGTGCCCGGCCCGATCGAAGAAGTAGGAACGGGAGCCAAAGACCTGCCCATTGAGGATGCGGCTGGTGCTCTGGGGGAGGGAGCCACCATTGAGCTCTCTCCTAGCCCCCACTAACTTCCCACAGCCACCCTGGGCCCGGCCCAGGGCCACCCCTCTACACTGGCTCTCACCAGGTCCTGTGGAGGCCGGTGCACCCGGAAGAAGCCCACCAACAGGGTAGTGGGCAGCAGCTCCCACACAAAGAGGATGAGGCCGAACACCAGGTAGCCTTTGTTCCCCAGGTCATTCACCAGGTCCGCCTGTGGGAAAGCCAGCAGCTTAGCCAATCTGCAACTGTGCCAGTGGGGCACCTGGACAGGGCCAGGAGCCACGGCTGCTAAGGAGGCAGCAGACATGCCAAGTGCCCACCTGATCAGAGACATTGTACCAGTCATAATCAAAGGCATCCAGCCGGCTCCGGGGAGCCAAGGCCAGGGCCGCCAGGTTGTAGCAGGCCCGACTGGCATAGAGCAGGACCATGGCACCGCCCATCGCAGCTGCCTGGCACACACTGGTCCCCTGAAACAGATGACAACAGGGGACCCTCAGAGAGGGGAGGCTCCAGCTTCCCCTCCGCCCGAAGAATGATGCTCAAAGACCCCAAAGGACACCAGGCATCAGGGTTGTGACCCTACCTTGGCCTCCAGGTAGATGCTGGTGGAGGGTGCCCGCCGGGCAACAAGGCAGAGGCAGGCAGCAAGAGAGAGGGCGCAGATAACAAACAGGGAGTCGCTCACCAGGACACGCACCAGCAGGAGGGCCCAGGGCTGTGCCCGGCGCCGGCGGGACAGCACCGCACACAGCACATTCACCAGCAGAAAGAGCAGCGAGGCGCCCACGAAGGCCCCTCGGACAGCCAGCCTGCAGCCCACGGCACAGTCAGCCCCGGACTTCGGCCCTTCGCGCTCACCTACCACCCAACCTCCCCCAGGAGACCACGGTGTCCATCAGAACCTCAGGCCGTCCAGTCTGCGCTTTGCTCCTCCAGCTTTACAGACGGGGAAACTGAGGCCCAAGGAGGTCAGGTGACTGACAGCGGTAGTACAGTGGACGGAGCACTGGACTGGGTGTCAGGAATCTGGGCTTAAGCCCTGGCTCTGCTTGCAGCCACATCTATGCCCTTGAACATGTGGCTTTACCTTTCTGGGCCTCAGTTTCTCCATCCCTCAAGTAGCCTCACAGTAAGTTGTAAAACTAGAGATTTTGTGAAAGCTTTTATTGAATTGCAAGATGTTGTACCAAGGACAGGAGCGTCACCACCCAAGGTCACCCAGAAGTGGTTTGGCTTTGGAGCTTCCAGGGGCTGGCGCCTCCAGCTCTTCCTCTGTCATGGGCGACACTGGTACCGTCTCCCAACTGCTTCTATTACTGTTGCCCTTCACACATGCACCACCTCTGCGGGGCCTCCTGTGCCAGGTGCTTCACTTTCCCAAGCTTTCACACACATCCCCGGGGCTGTCCTCACCTTAGCCCTGCCATGGGGGGAGGGACAGACACCAGGCTGCCCGGGGCCTGGGGCTAAGCCCACCAGGGCCTGAGCCCAGTGTGGCACGAGTACTTACAAGCCTCGGCTCATCTCCGGCCGACGTTTCGCCTTGGCTTTGAACACCACCTGGGAGCAGAGATGCCCATGATTCCTCTGGGGCCTTGAGGTTTGCCACTCCGCAGCCCATCCCCACCCAGTTACCGGGGTTACCTGGGCAAAGTAGAGGTTCATCAGCGTCAGTGTGAAGAACTGCAGGCAGACAGGGCAGCAGTAGAGAAGCCAAAAGGGCAGGGGCCCCAGGCGGTTGGCTCGGGGGGTGTCTCGGAAGTAGAAGGAGAAGAGGGTGGTGCGCAAGGCAGCCCAGAGCAGACAGAGTGCCAGGAACACCGTCTGGTAGCTGAGACGCTTGTGCCCGTACAGGAGCACCAGCCAGAGCTGGGCATACACGGAGAAGAAGAGCAGGGCGTACAGGGTGGTGTAGGCCGCAGTCAGCCCCAGGGTCACGGCCGGTGGCAGCGCAGGCACCAGACCGGCAGCGGGCACCAGGCCAGACAGGTTACTCTCCATGTCAGGGAGGGAGGCCTGGATCCGGAGACAGAGACGGAGGGGCTGGCCGGGGGCCAGGGAGATACAAATGAATATGCAGGGGTGGGAGCTGCAGGGTGCAGAGGCCGAGGGGGGGGAGTGTGGGAGCAAAGAAGTTGTGGCTGGCCAGGCCCTTCCCTGAGCCAGAGGGGCACTCGCAGCCTGGGGCCAGGGCCGGGCCCTGCACCCGGGAGCGGGGAAGGACAGTCTCTCCTCTCCGGGGCTGAGGGTGGGGGTGGGGAGTGTCGCCTCCTGGGCCAGTCCCAGAGCCAGGAGCTGGGGGGGCGCGGAGGCTGAAGAAGGGTCCTTGGCCTTCGTCGCTCCAGTCGTCCCGGCAGGAGGGGGAGAGCCGCCGATGCCCGCGGGCTTTGGGCAGCGGCCGCGGCGTGGGGCGCTCCCCCCGGCTCTCCCCCTCCCCAAACTGCGGGCTCTCTCCCCTCCAATGATCCGGACGGGGCGGGGCGGGGGCTCTGCCTTTAGGCCCCGGGATTCCGGACGCTGGCCCCGAGCCACCCCGCTGCGTCCACTCTCCAGCCGCGGGGGGCGGGGGAGGCCGGCGCCGGGCTCTCAGTCCGCCTCTGGGGGAGCCAGCTCCGGCCGCTGGGACCCGGGCTCCGGCTCCCCGGCTCCGGCGGCTCCGCCCCCTCCTGCGCCTGCGCGGGCGCCGTGCGCTACGCAAACGGCGCAGGGTCTCCCCGCGGCCCCGCAACCCCGCCCGGCGCGCAGTGGTTGGAGAATGGGCGCGAGCTACGCCGCCGGCGGGTGCCGGGGGTGCCGAGCGGCGGCGGGCGGCCGCGGTGCTGGGGCGGCCCGCGTTCGGCCGGCGCCCGCTGGGCCGTGCCCGGAGCCGGGGCGCCAGTTCCCACGCTCCTCTCCTCCATTCCCCAACCGGGACGGCGCCGCGGGGCCGAGGGCGGCCGCGACTTCCCCTCGCCCGGTCTCGGAAGAAAACTTCCGCCCACAGCCAAGATGGCTCTCGGGCCCCGCCCTCGGGGACTGAGCCCACAGAGCCCCGCCGCCCCGGGGACGGGGGGAAGAGGGGGGCGCCCGTCCTCCGCCCTCGCCGGGCGCGGTCCCGCTCACCTGGTCCGCCGCCTGCCGGGCGCAAAGTCTCCCCGAGCCGCCCTCACGGGGGCCCTTATCCCTCCCCCCGCGCCGAGGCCGTCATCCCGCCAGGGGAGGCTCCCCGCTTATCTCGAGGCTCCCCAGGTGGCGGGAGGGGGCCCTGCTGCGTGCGGTGGGGGCCCCCACAGTGCGGAGGAGGGACCCAGTCACCCAGGCAGAGTCGTGACAGCAGCAGCCCGGCGTCCTGCGGCCGAACGCCGACTGGGCTTTGCTACGTGCCGTCCCCGCTGCATTCAGCGCTCGATTTACCGAGCGCCCGGGCTCCGGAGGGCGGTGTCATCACCCCCATGTTACGGGGCGGGAACTGCGGCCCGAGGGGCTGGAGGACTTGTCAACAGAAGTCAGGCCCCCAGGCCCCCTCATCTGCCCCACACCCGCCCCAGGTACAAGGAAGTCGGGAGAAGAGCCCTCGGGGACCAGGAAGGGAGGCAGGCGGGGCCGGGGGGCGGGGCCGGGACTCGGGGGCGGGGCCAGGGCCGACAGTGGCCCCGCCTCCCGGCCGGCCCTGGTGACATTTCCATAACCGATTGGGTCTCGTCGGTGACAGTTCCCGTCGCCCAGGCAACTAGAGCCGGGCTCCCTCCGGGCTAGAGGGAGGCGCAGGCTCGGGTCAGGGGCCTCGAGATCGGGCTTGGGGTGAGTCTTGCGTGCCGCCGAAGCCTGGGCGGGGGCCTGGGCTCCGCAGCACCAAGGTTCCGGAAGGAGATGGAGGTCCTGGGTGGACGGGCTGAGCTTGCCCGGCCGGACTCAGGGGACAGACTGGGGCCGGGGAGGCAGGGCGGACCCGGGGTTCTAAGGTGGAAGAGGGAACAGGGGCGCCTGCTCCCCCGCCCCCGCCAGCGACCGTTTCCCCAGCTGGGCCATAACTACCTACCTTCTCGCCCCTACAGCCCAGAGCATGTTCCAGATCCCAGAGTTTGAGCACAGTGAGCAGGAAGACTCCAGCCCTGCAGATAGGGGCCTGGGCCCCAGCCCCACAGGGGACCAGCCCCCAGGCCTCAACAAGCACTGGAGTACGGTCCCGGGTCTCCTGGGGGAAGCTGGTCACCAGCAGGGCCAGCCGGCCGGCAGCAGCCACCATGACGGTAGGCACCCCCACACACACAACCACCTACCTGCCTGTCCACTTTGCTCCCAGCCCAGTAGCTCCCTGCACCTCAGCCTCGTCCACACTCACTGGGTGGCTTTGGGCAAGTCCCCAACCTCTCTGGACCTCAGCTTTCCTCTTCTGTAAGACAGAGCAATGAATCCCCACCATTGTAGGGCTGTTGGGGTGATGAGGAGAGTAATTATAGTGCTGGTGCTTGGGAAATGCTCAAAGAATGTGGCGGTTAGGGTAGGACCACAGCAAATCACTGAGGGTCAGGCAGTGAACCAGAAAGGGGAAGTGACTTGCCTAAGGTCACACTTGTTTGCTGGTTCCCTTGGGGTAAAGCAGGGTTAAGCCTCCAGGTCTGTTCTTTCTCAGCTTGTGGCTCACACCCACACCAGGACTATCTTTGCTGGTTGCCAGAGGCTAGTAACCATTAGAGGCAGACAGCCCTCCCAGGCAGCTAGTCTGTTTGTGTGTGTGTGAGGGGGGTGGCGGGGAAGAGAAGCATAGGCCCAATGGAAGGATGGGCACTGGAGGGCAGTGACCATTTCTGTCTCCACTTCCCAGGGCCTGGCACAGGCCTTGGCACCTCAGAAAAACCACAGAGATCTTTTGGAAACAAAAACTATCCCCCTCTCCCCCAGCCCTGGCTGCTGTGGCCCAGATGATCGGAGTGTTGTCTGGTGCACTAAAAGGTGGCCAGTTTGGCTCAGTGGATAGAGAGTCGGCCTGCAGACTGAAGGGTCCCAGGTTCGATTCCAGTCAAGGGCATGTGTTGAGGTTGCTGGCTCGATCCCCAGTAGGGGGCATGCAGGAGGCAGCCAATCAATGATTCTCTCTCATCATTGATGTTTCTCTCTCCCTTCCTCTATGAAATCAGTAAAAATATATATTTAAAAAATAATAAAATAAAAGGTGGCGGGGTTCGACCCCCAGTCGTCTAGGGCACGTGCTGTCCAATCGATGTTTCTCACATTGATATTTCTCTCTCTTTCTCCCTCCCTTCTTCCCTCTAAAAAGTCAATATAAAAAACTTTTAAAAAGAAGCACAGGCCCCTGGCCTGCTGAAGCCTAAATGACCCGCCCCCCATTTCCAGGGGCAAGAAGGCTCCTCCGCAGCCCACGGGCTCACGCTGTCAGACACACTTTAACGTCCAGATCCTTGCACTTGCTGTATTTCTGCTCCCAACAGCTTTCCACTCACACCTGGCTGCTCCTCCTCTGTATCGGGTAATCTGTGCCCTGTGCGGCCCCCGCTGCCAGGGGACACCAGTGAACAGAAGAGATAGCAGTCCCTGCCCTGGTGGTTCTTACATTCTGGTCGGTGGGGGAGACAAGCCACAAACAAACAAGTAAGCGATAGAGCCTTCCCTTTCTCAGATCAGGAGCACTGGGCGCCAGGGGAGTGATCTGAACTGAGGTGGCCAGGGTCCGCCTCGGGGAGACGCACCGTCTGAGCAAAGACTGGGGGGGATGAAGGCCTGAGCCCTGCGGCCACCAGTGGAGAGATCTGGAAGGGATGGGTTGGGCAAAGGCCCTGAGGCCAGTGTGGCTGAGGGGACGAGTGAGGGCCGGGAGTGGAGAGGCGGGCATTAAAGGAGGGGGAGAGGAGCGGGCAGAGCCTGGAAGGCAGCGTAAGGGCTTTGACTTTTCCTTTGCGTGAGGACAGGGAGGGCTGTGAGTAGAGCCAAGTGATCGGATTCAGGCGTCCAGGGCACCACCAGGGCCTGTAGGAGGTGGTGGTGAGCCTGGGGGCGGCTTGGGACGGAGTTATGGATGGTGACCAGGGGTTGGCAAACCAGTCACAGGCTAAATCCCTCTTTTTGTACACATCATGAGCTAAGAATGGTTTTTATGTTTTTAAATAGTGTAGGTTCTGCCCGGGGGAAGGAGAGTGAGGAGGGGTGAAGGAAGCCAAGGAAAGGCCAGGAGGTGGGAAGGACCACGTCTGTTCTAGGAATGGAGTGGCAAAGGAGAGAGGGAGGGAGCTGGAGCAACCTCCTGCACAAGGAGGGGTGTGGCCTGGGGCTGGGGGTGCCCGAGGCACGGGGGCGGGGGAGGAGGGCTGGCACATCCTGAGAAACCAGATTTAGGGAGGAGGGCGTGGGACGGTCTGAGGAGCCAAGGGGATGCCACGAGGAGGGCCGTGGGGAGAAAACAGACACCACACAGGATTTCTTACACTTTAAAAAATGTATGTTTTTATTGATTTCAGAGAGAGGCAGGGAGAGGGAGAGAGAAACATCAATAAGAGAATCCTGGATTGGCTGCCTCCTGCACGCCCCCTACTGGGGATCGAGCCTGCAACCTGGGCATGTGCCCTGATCAGGTATCGAACCATGACCTCCTGGTTCATAGGTTGATGCTCAACCACCAAGCCACACCGGTCGGCGGATTTCTTAAACCTTTTCAATGTCTAAAAAGCAAGTGATTTTTCCATAAAAGATTCCTAAGTGCCAGTGGCCCAGCAGAGCCACTGCCTTCCTCTAGATGGGCAGGGTCCCTTCCCTCCTCATACTCCCTGCCCCTGACCCCCGCTGGACTGTAAGTGTCCCCGGGGACATGGACTGCAGCCACCCTCTGTGTTGTGCCAGCCCAGCACGTAGCCCAGTGCCTGGCAGGGGCTGGTGCATGGTGAGCTGTGGGTGATGGATGGTAGAGAGGGAAGGACACCCAGTGGGAGAAAAAGCTCAGCCCTAGGCACCAGGGCCGGACTGCAGGGTTGAAACCTGTCTTTACTCTTTATTAGCAGGTAGAGCTTGAGCAGGTCAGTTAACTTACTCTGCCTCAGTTTCCTTATCTGTTAAATGGGAATAGAACCAGTCCCACCTCATTGGGTTGTAATGAGTTAATACAGGAAAAGTGTTTTGAAGCAGTGCCCGGCACAGAGGAGTGTATGTTCTTCTTACTATTACTGTGATCATCGTGACTGTTACTCGGAGTTGGCCCAGGCTCTGAGCAGACCTGGGGGTCGCCATTCATTGAGCAGAGAGGAAGGCATGAATAACCAAGACCCCCTGGTGGCAAACAAGTGAAGCATTGGTTAGAACCAGAATGTAAGGGCTTAAAAGCCATTCCAGAGTTTGAACTTTATCTCATAAGCAATAGGGAGCCATTGAAGGTTTCAGGCAGAGGACAGACATAGTTGGGTTTAGAGCAGGGGTTGGCAAACCATAGTCACAGGCTAAATCCCTCTTTTTGTAGAGACCATGAGCTAAGAATGTTTTTTTTTTAATTTTAAATAGTTGACAACAGGTCCAAGAACATTTCATAACATGAAAATGATACGAAATTCGTTTCCATGTCCCTACATAACACCCGAATATTTACTCTTTGACGTTACAGAAGACATTTGCCAGCCCCTGCTTTCTGCTTTCGTCTGCTCTGAGCAAGATGGGGGTATATGTTCTTTGCAGGCCAGTAAGGGGCTTTGGTCCCCAAATGGCTTTAGGGTACACAGGGAGTCTGGGCCTGAGCCTGCAGGTGCTAGAAGCTAAACGGGCTGCGTGCTGCTCTGCCTGCTGGGGGCAGGCAGTGGGAAAGCCCTGCTGATGGCAAAGCTTCACTGCCTCACACTGTCTGCAGGCTACTGTTTAGTCTGCAAGGATGCTTGCCAAAGCCTGACCAGGGACGTGTTCAGTCCCATCCACTTACCTGGAAGCCCAATGGGGGTAAAGA